TTATTTTTCTTTAAATATTTGTTGCCAGACTTGGTATAGAGGAGCAAACGTCTTCACAGCACCACGAGCCATCTACTATTCAGAATAGGAAGAATAAAGACGAGTAAGAGGTGAAATCTAAGCACAGAAGAGCAGGGAGAAGCACCAAGATGCAGCGCTGGACAGATGGGATACAGTACAGAGTCCATAACTTAATCATAAAAAATATATATATGTATATATCCATCATGTAGAACTTTATGGAGTGTTTTTTTTAGATACATATGTTTGTTTTCTTTTCAACAGATATTTTCAGGCGGGTGAGTTATTTTTTAATCCTTTTTAAAGTCTTTTTTTGTTTGTTTTTGTTTGTTTGTTTTTTTCCAAAAGAAATTTCAAAGTTGTGCCAAACACATCTGGATCAGCGACCACAACGGGAGAGACTGGGGAGAGAGGGAAGGGGCAGAGGGATAGGGAGAGGGAAGGGAGGAGAGGGATGAGGGAGAGGGAAGAGACCACTCTGAGTCTCGAGAAAAGAAAGGAACAGCAACACTTCTGTTGGAAACCACAAGCAAAAGATGCATTCATCGGGATTCAAGCGACTGAACCAGACTCCAACTCCAGTTTGTACAGGAATATACAGCGGCACATCCCGCGGGAGCCGCGAGCACACGCACCCGGAGCACACCCACACACACCCACACAGACACTGCCAGCAAAGGAACCAAACCAAACCCTGCAGACACTGAGAAAAGAAACGAAACACCTCCAGTGGAAGAATGAACAAAAACCTCCATAAAACAAGGCACATCCTTTGAGTTGGTAACAGTGGGAAAAGAAAGACGCGACACTGAATCCCAACAGAAAACCCGACCAGAACTGCTCGCACATACCTTCCACCCAGAGAAAAGGTAAATATTGTGCTACTCTTAGAATGAGTTTGCCACAAGACACACAGCTTAGTATAATCTAATAGTTTTTTCTCAAGCTAAAATCCAGTTTTCTCTTGATTTCTTTTAAACTGCTTTATATATAATTGCTAATATTTTTAAATCTTTTAAATATATATTTGTTAAAGTTTATTCTTTTTATTATTTTTTGGGGGGGT